TTAGCCGACTTTTTTCTTGATTTTTGCCGCAGCACCCCTGGCATACGCTCACGGCACCCAGTTTTGAGAACCGCTGCGTTAACGCATCGTTAGCCCGACCCGGTGACGTCAACAGGACGACCCGTTATCTGGAGCCTGCCATGTTAATGTCTTTACAGGGGCTCCATATTGTATCTTGAAGGGACATTCCTGTGGACCAGATTTCTTTTCTCTGGCTGGCAAAATCTGGGCATTCCTGTCAAAGATGCTCTGGAGTTTGTTTGAGTGCGCCGCAACCACATACAGCAGAGTTAGCAAGACCCATTTAACGGAATTGTGTTTTCACTGCTTTGAGTTTACCGTGTCCCTTTCTAGGGAACATTTTGGTTTGGGCTTCTCTGCCGAGCCTGATCTGCTGTAAAAAGTTCCAGTAATGTTGTGATTCGCTTCTTTTCTCCAAGAAATAGTGACAGCCTTTCGAGGTGGTCATACTCTACTTCTTCTTCTTCTTTTTCTTCTTCTTCTTCTTCTTCTTCTTCTTCTTCTTCTTCTTCTTCTTCTTCTTCTTCTTCTTCTTCTTCTTCTTCTTCTTCTTCTTCTTCTTCTTTTCTTCGTCTTCTTCTTCTATTTCTTCTTCTTGTTTTCTTTTTCTTCTTCTTCTTCTTCTTTTTTTTATTTCTTCTTCTTGTTTTCTTTTTCTTCTTCTTCTTCTTTTTTTTTAATTTCTTTTTCTCCTTCTTCTTCTTCTTCTTCTTCTTCTTCTTCTTTTTCTTCTTCTTCTTCTTCTTCTTCTTCTTCTTCTTCTTCTTCTTCTTCTTCTTCTTCTTCTTCTTCTTTTCTTCTTCTTCTTCTTCTTCTTCTTCTTCTTCTTCTTCTTTTTCTATTTCTTCTTCTCCTCCTTCTTCTTCTTCTTCTTCTTCTTCTTCTTCTTCTTCTTCTTCTTCTTCTTCTTCTTCTTCTTCTTCTTCTTCTTCTTCTTCTTCTTCTTCTTCTTCTTCTTCTTCTTCTTCTTCTTCTTCTTCTTCTTCTTCTTCTTCTTCTTCTTCTTCTTTTTTCTTCTTTTTCCTCGTCCTCTTCTTCTTCTCTAGCAATTCGAACCCTTGAGGTTGGTTGCTGCAGATATCACCCGCCTTATTTCACCTCTCTGATTGGCCTTCTCTTTCCTTTAATTGACTTCAAGTGTGTCAAGGAGAATCAATCATGGCACCCAGAGGCACATAGGGCAGAGACAAACTGTCGCCACTCAATTCGATCCTGAGCCATCCTTTCTATTTCCAGTTTTGTACTTTGCGTAGCCCTGAGTGGGTTCGCCTCCATGTGCCTCTGTGTTTGCCTCTTCCTGGCTGTCCTTGTGGTGTCTCGGTCGTGTCTCTTTCTTTATTTTGAGGACGTGCCCAGTCCACCCCCATCTTCGTTTTTTTTTTTTTTTAATTTCTAAATTCACCATCAGGCGAATAGGTGTAAATAAAAACAAATGGAAATTAAAAAAAAAAAAAATTACATGATTAGTTAGAAAACAATTCATTCTTTTTTATTGCTAAAAGTTTCACATTCATTCTTATGTATTTTTTAATATGGTCTTCTTTAAATTACAACATAAATTATATTACAGTATTTCTTCCATGTCAACGATATTCTAGTACGCTCGTGCATACACACGCACGCGAGCTCACGCACACACACACACACACACATATATATGTATATATATATATTCATCATGTGACTTGCCGATTGGCGTGGGCGATAATGCCTCTCTACAACCCACGATCTCCTTCAGGATGTTTCAGTTCATGTGCTCACATTACTTCATGGCATAACAAAAGACTGTCATGAATCTTCTCACGTTTTTGTTTTCCTCCGTCGTTCTTTCCACAGATCGTTTCAATGGTCGCAGCATGTTACACACTATTTCTTGTCATAATATGGCAAAAAATTGACGACTGTCTACTTCTGGTGTTTGTGATAAAGTTTTCTTCAAGCCCTCGCCTCTTTCACAACATATGGGTTATTCATTCTGGCTGTCTTGTGTATTTCAAGTGTTTCTTTAAAACTACATACCCGTGGCCTCAATACGTTCCCGCATTACGAATCGTGCAGGATGTACAACCATTCATTAAAATTAGCTTTGTATAGTACACGAGTATTTTTTTTTTTGTAACCCCCCCCCCCCCTTACCCCAAACATATGTACTTTATTTTTTCTTCTTCTTCTGCTTCTTCTTCTTCTCCGCCTCCTCCTCCTCCTCCTCCTCCTTCTTCTATCTGTCTGTTATAGTATTTATACCAAGAGGCCGGTAGCCTTTATGAACTGGCCAGATTTCCATTGACGGTGGAACTGGCCAGATTTTCATTGACGGTGGAACTGGCCAGATTTCCATTGACGGTGGAACTGGCCAGATTTCCATTGACGGTGGAACTGGCCAGATTTTCATTGACGGTGGAACTGGCCAGATTTTCATTGACGGTGGAACTGGCCAGATTTCCATTGACGGTGGAACTGGCCAGATGGCCTCTCTATTGGCAGCAGACAGTTGAGGAGCTCATGCTCAGCATTTCCTGGTGCCCAAGCTGCAGGGACACGCCTTCATGTTTCCTACAGCGACAAGTTTGAACATATTTTGGCAAAGTCTGTGGTGTTGTGTCATTAGACTAACTATGGCTAGTGTGTCAACTGCGAGCACTTCACATATTATACACTTAAACATATGAAGTCAGGTGGTAAACTCTCTTTCTTCTACCCACCCCCCCCCCTTTTTTTCACATAGATAATTCCCCAGAAATGGTCTCTCTGCACGTTTTGTTTTTTAATAAGGTATATTAGGGCGTATGTGGCTTAGGCGTTGCGAACGCGCTTCGTAACGCCGAAATGCAGGGTTCGATCCCAGTTGCTGACGTTTTGTCTTGCGGCGGTTTCGACAGTGGAACTGAGGGCTGACCGTTCAGAGAGCAATGGCAAAATACTGAACGTAATATTTCCCAGAAAACCCACGATAGATAAAATATGCAGGGACCGGTTCTGTTACGACCTGTAAAGGATACGCCACTGACTTGTTTATATGAGGGCAGCAATGGTGGAAAACATCTCCTGTCTGTGCTGAAGTTCGGACACGGACAATACTCTTGGCAGTTAAGCAGCGTAATGCACTTTATCCCCTTCAGGAATGCAGTCCAAATAATTAACACCCCAGGGATGAGAATCCTACATGCATGGTGATGCATGCCTGTCAGTCCCGATCTATGCTGGATCTTCATCCACCGAAATTTTTTTAACAGATATAACCCCTTTCATTAAACATAAAAACGGATAAGAAAGCACGGCTCCTCTTTGGTGCATGTCAAAAGTGTGGCGGCCAGCTTTAAACTGTCATTATGACGTCTTCGTCTACACCGCGATACCACGTGCTTAGCACTCGGGACATCCTCAACAACAGTACTGGCATGTTAAAAGACAAGGTCATGGTTATTGTAAATTCTATCACAATTGAAAAGTTTGTACCTGAAGCCTTCTCCTTCGAATCCTGGTAAACCCTGTTCAACAGTGAGGTTATACTGGAGCTCCCAGACGGGTACGAAGAACCCTAAAGTCCGCACTAAGCAGTTCACTCAGTGCCCCTTGCTTTACTCCTCATCTACCATGGGGTGTTGAGGTTTGACGAGAGATCCCAGACGTCTCTATCAGCAGTTTTCTTTCTGGCTTTGTTCCATTTCATTCCTCTGTCAGTTAGGGACCGTCGGATGTTGAACTCTCAGTGACTTTATATATACTCGATTCGGGTAAATCATTTGACTATATTAAAATGTGTCTATTGGGCTGTGTTCTCTTGATATCAACAGTGGTATCAAGTGTCTATCGTTTATCGTTATTTATTTATTTAAACTAAGGTTGTCTACTAAATCTGCAAATGGCCAACAAATGCTGGAGTTGGGTTGCAAACTTCATGTAAAAGAAACGAAACAACTTATTGGAAAAGTACTTTGCCTTTTCAGTTGAAATTGGTGAACAAGTTGGCTGAGGGAAGGACATGAAACGAAATAAAAATTAAGACAGCAAAGCTGATAATTGCAGAAAGGAGGTTCAGTGAAAAACAATAAACAGAAATAGGCTGTGTCAAATAAACAAATATATAAAGGGTACTATTATTTTAGTACACCCTATCTCAAGGAATCCATTGGGGAGGGGGGGAGGGAGAGGGGTTCACAAAGTAACAACCCTATACTCTTGGACTTTCCCCGGTTACTCCTCAGCAAATTTCGAAGTCCCCGAGGTGGAGTTAACTAAAATAAAAAGACCGTATAAAACCCCTACTTCATTCTAGCAACACGTTGAAAGAAATGTGAAAATATAGAGTGTGAACGAAAATTAAAAAGCAAATAGTGCGCCAATTAAACAGAGGACGAAACAAATTAAATACAATTTCAATTGTATATGCAAGTAATTGTTAAGGTAACACAGTAAATAAGGAACATAGTTACAAACAATTAAACAGCGAGATAAGCAAAACAACAGCGAGACAGGCATTTTTGCTGTTTATGACAAACTAAATCAACCGGATAAAAGATTTGTTGGCAGTAAATACTTGGATAACTGCACGTACCCCTTTCCATTTATCTGGAACAAGAAAGTAGTTCACTGTCTAAGGGTTAATGCAACTTCCTAGTTTTCAATAAAGCATCGCACACACTTGACAATAATCGAATGGCCAGTAAACGGAAACTGTATTGCATGTATGCAGTCACTGAATCTTGACCAAGCCCGCTTTATCGCAATACATTTAACTGACATGGTTTTTTTTTTTTTTTTTTATATAGACATGAAACACGTTAAAAGATTCATTGACCCCCACGCATTGACTGGTCTGTCTGATTACAGGTAACGACCGAATTAATCCGCCAAGATCATAAAGGTCCTCGCAGGTGATGACCCAGTTGGAGTGATAATTTAAAGTAGCATTCAAATACAATATTGGGAGCCGTCCAGGTGAGTTGATTGGTGAGTAAAGATTGTAGATGATTGTAGAGTTACGTCAGTAGTGATTGTTGATGTGGTAGTCCGTTCTGGGTGTACCAGGATGAGTAATGGGACATGTAGGCGCTGTTGATTTGATGCTGGGCGTGGTGCTGGTTATGACTGTGGGGATGAATATGACCAGAGTTGGGATTCGAACCCAGGTCCGACCATGACAACACGCTGCCCTGCTGACTCATAGGCGAGGAAGCTGAGAGCATTGGGGTCGGCGTTCCTTGAGGGTGTGGGTGCTGGAGGCCGTGCTGAGGGGTCGGAGACCCTTGGGATCCTGGGTGCATGTCGCCACCGGGGGGTCCCTCGTCCAAGAATGAGTTCTGCTGTTGTTTAATCCCGACCCCCATGGATCCCTGTTGCTGCAGCGACGGAGATGCTGCAGATCCCTGGTGCACTGGGGTTTGAGAGCAAGGGGCCTGGGTCGGCGGGGGTCCTCCTTGTTTCATGATCTTTTTGTACTTAGATCTTCGATTCTGGAACCAAATTTTTAC